CCCTCTAGTTTCTAGAACTATCTTGTTCTTTCAGGAATGCTCTAGTATTTACTAGATAGGGTAGTCGGGTATATATAAGAGGGGACAACGTGACGGAGGTAATGGGTGTATAGATAGTGAGTAATTGAACTGCAGTCAGAAGTATTATTGACATTCGTTATTATAGCGTTTGTTTAGCGCGATTGTTGAAGTTGAGTGTATCGGTAAAGTTATATTCGGAAAGAATAAACCAGTTTTATTAAGTAAAGACTTGTGTCGTTAAAATTTCGTCGGAACGAAGTTACGGAAAAATCAATTAACAAAGGGAGACGTAACAATATTATAGCAAAGGGGCAGTTAGTTTCCAAAGATAATCAATGGAAGGAACAACTAATTTCTAAGCATTTTCAAAGGAAAAAACATATAGTTTTTAAACATACTAAATGGAAGGGACAGCTAATTTCTAAACAATCTCATTGGAAGTTACAACTAATTTCTAAGCAAACTCAATGGAAGGGACATAAGTTTCTAAACATAATCAATGGAAGAGATAGCTATTTTCTAAACAAACTCAATGAAATTGATAACTAGTTTCTAAGCATACTCAAAGGAAATGACAGTTTCAAAAAATGTTCAATGAAATAGACAGTTTCTAAACATACCAAACAGAAGGTACAACTAGTTATTAAATATACTAGATAATAGGAGAAGCTAGTTTCTCAATAAACTCAAAAGAAGAGGCTTATAGTCTCTAAACATGTTCAATGAATAGTTACTGAACATGCTCAATGGGGATGAACAAATAGTTTCTAAACATGGACTATGGAAATTCAACTCGGTGGAAGGGACACGTTGGTTTTAAGCATACTGAACGGAAGGTACAGTTGGTTACTAAACATGGACTATGAAAATTCAGCTCAGTGGAAGGGACACATTGATTCTAAGCATACTGAACAGAAGCTACAGTTAGTTGCTAAACATACTCGATGGACGAGACAGCTAAGTTTTAAACACACTGCATAGAAGGTACAGTTAGTTGCTAAACATACTCATTGAAAAGGACATCTTGGTTCTAAACAGACTGAGTAGAAAGTGCAGTTAGTTGATAAACATACTCAATGGAAGGAACAGCTATATTCTAAAGATACTGAACAGAAGGTAAAGTTAGTTGTTAAACATACTCAATGGAAGGGACAACTAGTTTCTCAAAATACTGAGTAGAAGGTACAGTTAATTTCTGAACATTCTCAATGGTAGTGACAGCTAAGTTCTAAACATACTGAATAGAAGGTACAGTTAGTTACTAAACATACTTATTTAAAGGGACAGTTATTAGCTATACATACTCAGTGGTTACCTAGTTACAGAAAATGTTGTCAATGAAACAGCAGCTTGTTTTTAAGTATAACCTCATTGAAACAATTTTTTCATAAACACTGCAGATGATAAATTCAGTTAAGTACTAAAAAAAGACATAAAAACCACAAATATAAATAGTTTTGTAATATAATCACAATGGATAGGATAACATGATGATACAAATATACCCCCCAAAAAATTGGGACAACTAGTTAAATACTTTTATACAGTTGGTGCTTGAGGCAGTTGGTTATTAAATTAATACTCAATATGAGAGACACCTGCATACTAACCTCATGAGCAATCAAAAATATTCTACATGAAGCAGACTGTAGGTTATTGAAGATAATTAATATACTCTTTGAAATAAACAAACACACATGTTAACTAAAGGAAAAGTGTTAATCCCTAATATTAGTCTCACAATAACTTCATAGCTTTTTACTTACATAACATGATACATAATCTGGTCACAAAATAGCTTATAATTATTAAACAAAATATGCTTGTTTGAACTTGGACACATTAATTCTCTCACTACAGGCCCAGTTGAAGTGACCAAGTTCGTAACCTGAAGTGACCATAAGAATTTCCATACTATAACTTTTAATATGGTATGTGTATCTTAACAAAATTTGGCAAGCTTTCAGTAAATGTTATAAGTATTTTGTACATAAAAACCAAATTTTTAATAAAGTATTTTTATAAAATATTTGTCCATGAATATATGGACTAAAAGTGTTGACTGCTCCAAGTGCAAAATGATTTTTATGTTAAGATTAAAAATACTTTCCTTTATCTGAAAACTGTGAAATTTCATTTGCATAATCTCTAACATCTTCTAAATAAATACGAAATTTTTTCTCAGTAAAACTTTATATTTTATCTGTCATTTTCTCTACCCTAACTCTATATCAATTCAGTCAATTTGACCAATCTCATAACCACTAAGAAGATATAAGAAACAAATCTAAACTACCTATTTTTCTTTATAGAATGACTGTAAATTGTAACATGAAACTACAACTGTTTATTCTAAATGGCTGAAAGCTCACAACAGTAAAAATCTGTATACTTGAATTTTATTGTTTTATTGCCCTTTGAACTGTGTCTAACTAATAATCCTGCCACATGAAATGTAAAACACTCAGCAAATGAATAGCTCATATTACTGTATGAAATTACATAACATAAGAGCTGTTTGCGAGCTGCTCACAAGCATACCTCATGAAAAGTTTTTTTTATTATCTCATTTAATCTAACTTTATCTATCCAAATAAGTTTCTAATTTTTACATTTTAGTTACTTTTATAATAATAAACAAAGAATACACATGAAAAACAATATAGTATTTACCTGGGTCCTCTTGTTTTTCACTATCGATAAAACTTAAACCTATGTTTTTCATATTAATGGTACTACTACACTAAATAATTTTTATTTTATAAAACGATACACCTTAAGAACACAGAATAATAACACAACACACAAAGCAAATAATGTCCTATAACTACCATAATTTTTCTAACTATGCAATACGAGCCTTTAAAAATTCAGCTAAGCTTGTTGATGTGATTCCAGTGAGAAAAACATTGAAACTGAACAACAAAATAGACAAAGCCTTGTACAGAAAACAAGGTAATATAATATATCATTTGAAAAATTAAGACTTTGGCTTTCTATTGGTTATAAATAATATAGTATAAAATGCTAGAAAACTACTGCCAATTTGTGAAAGATAGGATGTGACAGGTGGCATGGTAAGTGGGTCTGATTTCCTAGTTTATGGCTTTGTAATCAAGTAAGATTGAATGCTATAAAAATTATGCTTTGCTTGAGTAATATCTCTAGTATTATAAGTAATTTATATTAAATTCCGTACTTCTTGGAGGGGTGGTAAATAAATTAGAGAAAAAGGAAGAGCAAATATCACAATTCTCATAATAGGGGAGATTGAGGATTTTTTTTAAATATCTCCTCATAAAATTAAGAACTTAAAACAGGTATAATACTAAAAAATTTGATTTATTAACTACATTTTGATGCCAAGTTTATTTGTATATAATGATGATGATAATGTAATTTAATTAAATCTTGAAGGTAACATGATAAAACCTCATGATATGTGCAGTAAAAGTAACTCATTTGGAAAGGGTTAACTCTTTAAACCTGAGCGAATAATTCCAGCATCCGGCCTAAACTCCCGATTTACCTATCAGACAGTGACAGCATCCAATAACACTTATGTCTCTTTAGCTGAAAACTAATTGAAACCATGTTATTATCCACAAAATTAAGAAAATTGAAATTTTATAAGGTATGGTGATAACTATTAGAAAATGATAAAATAACTCCAACAGAATGCAGAAAAAGTTATAGGTTTAAAGAGTTAATAGAGTTATCAACTTCAGCCTCACCAGCAGAATCCCTTTTGTCTGATGAAAGTTCTCCAGAAGCAGCTTTATTGGTATTCCAACAGCTTTTTTCTATCAAAGGCATAGAAACGGATAGACTGTGACGGCTTGGGTGAGGTTGGACAAAGATCTGTTTGGGAATTTGCCCAAACTCCATTATTTGAACTTCCAGACAATATTTTTCATTGAGGTCTTTGATGCTAGAAAAATGACAAGTGAGCAATGTTGTTTATTTCTTGTTCTAAAGGAAAAAATAAAAAATCTGAGTGCTCATTAAAAATCAACTGAGAAATTTGACCAACAAAATATCTGTCCTTTTGATATCATACACAAAACAAAAAGAAAAAAGTTTCACCGATACAATAATAAAAAAGATTAAGAACAAAATTAAAGATGGTATGTGTTAGATGTTAAAAACACAGGAGGAATGGTGTTAAATGTAAATTTTACAACAACACTAATAATGATAGTGTGTGAAATAAACTTTTAAGCCATTTGTCCACTGGCTTAGTAACTTAGTGATTGCACAGGTCTACTTGACTAATACTGTGCTGCAGTGCTAGACTATTACCACTGACATATTTACATGTACAAACAGAAAATTTTAACACTTCCTAGTATTCCTTGTTATAAAAACCCTTACTGATAACAGCACAGAGATAATTTCCACAGTAATCCTAATGTATTGAGTAGTTCATCAACTAATGATTTTACTAGAACTTTTCCAGCATTAGTTTTTTAATTTATCACTAAAGTTTTCTTAAATTGAAAAACAACCACTGTCTGAAAAGCAGCAGAGAATGTGAGATAAAACTATCACACTTATCTTCAAGTAACAATGTCACTTTACATTTATTACACCAGAAATTCAGAGTTAGAAAATGACACTTCACAACCTCAAGTAAATACTTAAACATGTTAAAATAATATTAAAAAACTGTTTAACTTCCTGACTGAATGAGAGTTTTGACATTAATTACATAATTTTAATGAATAACCAATATTATTGGATTGAAAAAAAGTAAAACTTGCATCAATACTTGAAAAGAGAAAAGAGGCTAAATGACCGATTTTAATGTAGTCAACAACTTTAATGTCTAATGATACTGATCAAACAATATAAAACTAAGGAGGATTGAAATATCCTATACAATGCCAAAATATGCAACAACATATACGATATAGAAAAGAAGTACTAACTTTTTTCCTATAAATTCATGATGTAACACCACCTAACTAAACAAGAAGATATAAATAAATGTTAACCAAGGTTAGCTTGTACAGTATATAAATGATTTTGTGTGAAATTTTTTCTTTGTTTGTTTGTTACAAAACTACACAGTGAGTTGACTCCATATATTCATGGAAACATTTTTAGTGAAAATAATTCAATAAAAATTCTGATTCTTTGTCTATAAAAGACTTAATGGTGACTGAAAGCTTGGGAAATGTCGTAAAGATGCACAGAACATATTAGAAATTATAGTATGTAAACTATAGAGTTCAATTTGGGGTCAAGATTTAGTTTGAATCGACCGAGCATGGTCGCGAAAGAGTAAATAAAAAATGCAAAAACCACAAATATTCGTAGCACATGAACTTGTATATTTATAGTGAATTGTATAACCTTTTATCTTTTAAAACAATTTATTGGATTTTACTACAAATTCCAAGTTAGGTTAGTAATCTCTTTTTATCTTCTTCAATTCCAGCCCCCCGTTATATCTGAGGGTTTATAATGCTGAAAATTGGGTTTTGATACCCATAGTGGGCAGAGTTTGGTATTATGTGCAAAGTGATTTCCATGTTAAGATTAAAAAAATCTCAAATTTCATTTAAGTAATCTCTAAAACCTCTTAAACCAATATCAAAAGTTTTTTTCATTAGAACTATATTTTATCTCTTATTTTCTCTACCCTAACTCAGTCAATTTGACCGCCCTCATAACACCATAAAAAATTGGAAATAAATCTAAATTACCTATTTTTCTTTCTAGAATGACTTCAAATTGTAACATGAATCTAAATTTGTTCATCCTAATTAGCTCTTTACTCATAAGAGTATACATTTGTCTCTACTTAAATTTTGTTGCCTTTTGAGCCATATCTAAGTAATGTTCTTGCCACACAAGATATAAATCAGTTGGCAAACATATAGCCCATGTTATCTTATTAAATTATGTAATGCAAAGGCTACTTGCAAAATTGATTCGAAGTGTACCTCATAAAAAATTTATTATTATTATTATTCTTCATTTTACCTAATTTAACGTGAAAAATTTCTAATTTTTACATCTTAGTTACTTTTATAATAATAAATAAAGAATACAGAGAAAAAAAGAAATATAGTACTTACATCTTACTTTTTTTTGCTGTCGAACGCTGATGAAACTTAACCCTACTTTTTATACTAATGGTACTACTGCAATAAATTTTTGTTTAATTACATAATACACCAAAGAACACAGAATAATAACACAAAAAATGCAGACAATGTCCTAAAACTACCACAATTTTTCTAGCTTTCTAACTATGTGACAAGAGCCATTAAAAATTCAGCTAAGCTCATTGATGTGTTTACAGTGGGAATAATGTTTGAACTGGAGAAATAGACAATTCTCAGTACAGAAAACAATGTAATATAATACATCATTTGACATATTAAAGCTTTGGCTTTCTGTTGGTTATAAATATTGTAGTATTATACATAAGAGAAAACTACTGGCAATTTGTAAAAAGAGGATGTGACAGGTGGGCATGGCAAGATGAGTCTGATTTTCTAGTTTATAACTCTGTAACCAAACAAGACTGAAGGTTATGAAAATTATGCTTTGCCTGAGTAAAGACAATATTATAATGAGTAATACACTTTAAATTTCGTACTTCTTGGAGGGGTGGTAGATAAATTAGAGAAGAGGGAATGCCTAGAGAAAAAATTTCACATTTCTCACACTAGAGAAAATTTGGTATCTTTTTTTGAACATTGCCTTACAAAATTAAGAACTTACATCTTATATAATATTAAACTGTGGATTATTAGCTACATTTTGATGCTAAATTTATTCATATACCATGATAATAAAGTACTTTACTAAAATCTTGAATGTAACTCAGTAAAACCTCATGACATGTAGAGAAAAGGATGCCCATATGGAAAGAGTTAACAACCAGAAGATGCATCATGAAGCATGAAAGCTGGCAATCAGAATGGATCATCATCAATACTCCAGGTTAATCACTCTCACCAATCCTTTCCAACATCTATACCATGGATCTAGCCCACTTTGACAGTCCAACCAAATGCAATGTGCTAACCTTTGCAAAAGACATTCTAACATACAGCAGAAGCTCCAGCAAAGCAAGATGCAACCACCTCTTAGTAGTTTGAGTAAATGGTTTAATGACAAAGGAATGGTCCATCAGTCCTGCCAAAACCACTGGCACGTACTTTACACTTAACAAAAGACATCCTGATTAAGACAAATCATAACCATTCTTTGTAGGCAATGCCATCCCTCTGGAAGAAATACTGAAGTACTTAGGGATATCCTCAACATCCATATATACACCATAACAAACAGCACTATCAAAGACATCAATGAACTGAAAGTTGCAACAGGCAACAGAGCTGAAGTGTGTCATCTTATAATACTCTACTAAGTTTTATCACCTCATCTTGGATTATGCAGTACTGATGATTAGTATGAGTGCTAAGCAGCTGGATGACATTGAAAAAAAAAAAGACACAAAACACCTGTTCAAAAATAGTCATGGGATGAACTTGAGCCACCCACATCAAGGCCCTATTTACACCACACAAGCTTTAGCAGGATCTCATTGAGTGCCAACAGCTCTTACGAACAAAACTTTTCACTAGGGTCTTACAATGTAAAGATAATGCCTTCCACCATTAAACCACTGTCATTTTCACTTTAGAATTCCATATCCACAACAACCATGCAGACACCAACACAACAGGGGATTCACAAAAACGATCCCAGTTGACATTCATGGGTGGAAAGATGCCTTTATGTGGAATAAGCATTTCCCAATACTGGGATCTAAGAAAATAAGCCTAGACAGAAAAGATTGGGTTGAGGGTGAAGCAAAAAACCTGTCAGTAACTATTTAAAGACCATGGTTGACAGTCACCTGTTCACATAGCTACATAAGGTGATACATCACAGTCAACAAACAAAGTAACTGGGTATTCATTTTTTCACAGAGCAACAACATGCTGCACAAAGCTAGTGGAGAATTCAAGTTTCTCACAAGCATCATAAAAATGGAACTGGAAGCCATAAAGCAAGCTTTCCCCTGGATTTCTGAAAGTAATGAACCCCAAATAGACAGTGAAACAACATAATATTTGTTACTGACTTGCAAGCAATAATACATAAAATTCAGAGAGATTGGTCCTCAGGTGAATGGCAGAGAGCCAAGCAGCTGCAGTGTATATGGTATGATAATCACCTAGATGTATATGCCAGGCTTTAGAGGTAAAGTTAAATGAGGAAACTAACAAGCTTGCAAGAGATGCCTTTATATTAAACACAACTCCAGTGGCAGGATACTGACTTCCTCTGCATTATTAAGGTAAAATAATGCAACAGTGGAAGGTATCCATCAACATTCAGAGGGAATGAGACTGCTGGAAAACAAAGTACTGTAAGCTAGAAAAAGCAACAGATGGGGAATCAATAAGACAGTATACAGCCAGACAATTCTTTGAAACATCATTTAATACCACTTGGGTCCATATATTGCAACACACTGAGTAGTTTCTTGTTTCACTCTGTTACAACACTCACTGTAAAAAATATTGGTGAAGTCACCCATTTTCTATGTAAGGTACAGAAAAGACCTCCTAATGTAATCAGTGGGATTAATTGCAATATTGGTGATATTTTATACATGTTTTTATATGACTCGTGTTATTAGGAACCCTGTAAACAGCAAAGTCATGGGCATACAAGAAATTAGTGAATAAATAATTTAGAAAAATGTGTTGTTATTACCAACAGGAATGAACACATCAGTAATTATAGAATTGATTAAAGTCTATTTAATAAGTGATCTCTAAACCACTCTCAACCAGTTAAATCTGGGATTTTGTTATATTTCCTGCAAATGCTCAAAGAGAAAAACAGCATTCACGTGCTGATGGGTATTTTCAAGGGAATTCCAGAACAAGTCCCTAATCACATAGAGAGGAATAAATGAGGAAGGGACAATAAATAGTGTTGGCAAGCTGCTTACTTTAACTTGACTGATGACTGTCACCCAAAACTGCTTAACTCTGTGATGTGTAACTCTTTACCCATACAGCCTTCAAATTTTCCAACCACAGCAAAATGTTGGGTATATGGGTATATCATGCCCTACCCAATTAGCAAGTTACTGTAATTTTCTCTGGTTAAGTCAGAGATCATTTGTTAAAAAGAACTAGTCTAATGAAAAGGATTACAATGACATTTTAGAAAAAATTTATTTAATTATACCTTATAGTTTATTCACTGTTTTTTTTTGCATTTTAGCTATGGTGACACCAAAAATTATATACAATATTGTAAATTTAAATAGGTACTAAAAAAAAAAGACTATTCTTTGCTAGTTTTGCAAAACCACAAAATAGCTATCTGTGACAATCACCCCTAATTTTAAATTGACAGACTTGAGAGAAGGCAGCTAGTGAACAGCACCCACAACCAACTCTTGAGCTACTGTATTTGAATTTGACCATCACTTTTATAATACTCCCATGGCCCACAAGTTCATGGGCAAGAATCTGTGGTAACAGGATTCAAACTAACAGGCTAGCATACTAACCACTAGGCCATGCCTGGCCCATATGTTTTAGAACAATAGACCTACACTAAATAAAATGTCTAAGGAGGTGTCAGCTGATTCCTAAATGGTATCTTAAACTTAATTTTTTTTGATAATAGTTACCTCAACTGACTAATAACAAAGTTGCCTGAAAATAATCTGCAAGTTAATAGCTGAATATTAAATAACAATAAATCAGCATTTCCCAAACTTTTCAGCCACAGAACACTTTTGAGCTATAAAACTATTGACAGAACCCTCAAGAAACATTCTTATGATAAAAAGTTAAATCATAAAAAATTATTATCAGAAAAACTTGTTTTCCACTTCAAAGTCCCTTCTTTTAGCCACTGATCCATGGCTAAGTAGTATCAATACTTGAAATCCCTGTAATTTTGTAATGTTACGAAATATTCACAAACTCATGAATAACGTGTTGTTTCCTTGAAAAACTGCACTTGACTACCACTAGTGACTAACTTACAGCAAGTATTCAAGTAGGTTCTGCCTATAAATGAAATAGCCAATAACAAATGGAATACAGGGTGATAGGATTTATGGGCTGACAAGCTTTTTAGCCATACCTATACCCTGCCTGCTCCTTCAATACAACTACACTACACAATATTTTCTCATGGAACCCCTGGATATATCATATGGAACCCCAGGGTTCCGTGGAACACAGCTTGGGAAATGCTGCAATAAATTAAAGCATTACCACAACCTAATTTTCTCACGACTGTATACCAACAAATATTACTCAAACCCAATATTGAAACACACACATGTATATATACAGACATACAAAAATTTTCAAGTTCATTTTTATTATATGCAAGAGCTGCATATATACATAGTAATTCACATGTTCTGTGATTCTGTTACTGAAATTTCTGTTTGTACAACTAAAATACTAGTTGATACCAACACTCTTGACTGTCAGTCATACGGTTTCTTCAAATCTGTGATACAACTGTCTCAGTAATGTGAAGCTTGATAATTTCTACTGGTTTAGACTTACAATTAACTAAATTAATTAACTCATACTATACTTGTGAATATATCATATCAATCCTGATTTTATACAGAGTTAAACACTAAATGAAGCTTTTATTTTATGATTTCTGCTAAATTTTTCTAATTATGATACCTCACTATGATCCATCACTCATTTACGTTTAACTGAATTTCCCAAAGTCACAGGAAAAAATGTCAACAATGATCAGCTGAGAAAAAGGAAAAAAAAAAAAAGAGAAAGCTTAATCAAGTATTGCCAAAACTAAACCTTAGCAAAGTTCAGTCCTAGAAAAATGTTTCTTTTGAAGATTGTTAATCATCAATTGTTTTAAAATTCCATATGTGGTTTAAGTGTGTCTGAAATGGAGCTTGTCAGTTTTGTGGAGATTAATCAAGCCCCTAAGAGTATAAAAATTGAAAATAATTAATGCCTGGTAGTACTAAGCTCTCTTTATAATTAAAAGAGGACCAGCTGTACAAAAACAGTGGGAAGTTCCTACATGAACAGACTCACCTATCTAAATCAACTGATCCTTCATATGTTAAATAGTAGAAAACTAAAAAGAAACAAAAAATAAAAACTTAAAATATTGAATATGCACTTCTGTTTAATCATAACTATTTTGTATGCATTAACACATCAAATGTCAAATCTGTTTCTAATTTAAGCTTCTTGCACAAGATTTGAAATTGAAGAAGCTGGAATTATAAATTATATAACATTAAGATGTTTCAACAATTAATTCTGACTAGTCTTACACGAAAAAATTTAAACCAATTAATAAACAATATACGAGATGTCAAAATCTGTCTAAAAGTGGATATAATGTTGCATCAAGTTTGTTTACATATTATTTCTAAACTTTAATGCAAAAAAATGCAAAAAGAGTTCAAATCTTGCATCATCATAAAAACAAAACTCCCTTGTAAGGATTCTTTTATTACACATTTCTAATTATGAAGGCCACTAGGTGAGAATCTTACTGTAAGTTAAATAAAATAACCTAACACTAGTACTTTTTGCTCTCAGCAATTTTCCTTGAGTCAGTTCATCATATACACTGATTTGGCAGCATTTGCAAATTTACATTTCTGATCACTTCAAGACGTTCATTACAAATTTCATACAATTTTATATTTCACAATTTTATAGAAAATAACTATATATAGACATCTGAGAACATTTTTGTTAGAATGACTGATAGGAAATTAAAATTTACCACAAATAGCATGTCAAAAGAATTATTCAAATCTGAAACATTTTTTTGAGTCATACAGAATCTTCTCACAGATTCTAAGTCATCATATCATGTATTTTCATCAATATCTATTTTATTGTTAATAAACAGGGGTGATTCCTACATGAATAGACTCACCTATCTAAATCAACCAATCCTTATACCCATCGTCTCAACTACTCAGTAGTAATAATTTCCATTTTATCTATGAGCAAATGTGACATAAAATTCTGTTTACTATATCTCCACACTAAACAAAGGTTTGTAACAGGTGTCAAGTAAAAGATGAGTTTTTTGAATCAGATTTTTAGTATATGGAAGGAAAAAGGGTTGGATTAATGTCCTTAATACCCTCAACAGAGCAGACAGTGACAAAAGCATATCAATGTATCATGTTATTTTAATATTCTAATGATGTGTTTATTCACAGCTCAAACACATGAACTCTCTATAAACAATACTAGGAACAAGAATACAAAGTTTTAACTCAATTTTAGAAACTTCCACAACATACTCTGGCTGAAATAAGTAACAATTTTGTGTTTAAAACTCAGCAATTAGTTTTTAATTCCATCCTTTTCAATACTTTCTAAGAGAGTCTCCTTGTTGATACTGCAGTGGCAAACATCACTGCAAAGAATGTTACATGAAAAACAGCAACTTTGGAGGTTACCAGATCATTAACACAAAATGAGAGGCAGAACTACCTCAGAAGCATGGATTTGGTCTTTCCAGTCTATCGTTAGTTCTTTATCATTTAGATCCCAGCCATATCCTGCTGACTTTGAAGTGGAGAATCAGTTTTTCATGGTCTAAGCCACATGTCCACTTAGTAATTAGGGCACTGAATTTGCTTTCTTGATCTGATATAGTGATGGCAATTTATAATGCAGAAATTTTACACAGAATGTCACACAAAACCATTACAATGACATCAAAAACTTAATTTGCATAATATGCCTTGAATGAAGATCAGTAGTATTAGAATATACCGATTATTTATTAACTCATTATGCATTTATCAATTGTCTTTACTGAACATTAATGGAACAGCTTAGATTAGTGTGTATGCTATTAATATTTGTTATACAGTAGTAAACATAGAATACTCAACAGCTGAAACATAATAATAAATTATCCAGTGAGTAGTAGAAATATGGGAATGTTTGTAACTTAAATGCATCTGTTCAGCCTTTCAATAATGAGATGCCCAATACTAATCCAGTGTTAAAGTGGGCAATATTTAAATCAGTTGATCAATTTGTAGTAGTGAACTATTGTAAAGGTCCAGTACATGTGCATTGTAAGTACTAGTACTCTAGACAGTTACAGTATAAAAACAAGCTCCTACAAATGTTAATGGCCATTGAACAGTTGCTGAGAGACCTCAATAACATACATAACAGAGGCATGATTCATACTTAGGTAGTAAGCAACACAGTTTGGGGGAAGTTATAATTTTCCTATACTAAAAATGTATTTCCAATAGGTACTTACTTCTGCTCACAAAACTAGCTATTCTTATTTAGTGCTGCCCTCTATATGCAAGCCACAAGCCTTCTACTCCCCTCTATTGGAATTGAAAAATTCGAACGTGTCTCTCTCATGCAAATCATCACACATCACTTCTACACCAATAGGAGTATGACATGCTCATGTGACTCCTTCTATTGAGCTATCACTTCAAAGTTTGGTAGGAGATGTGGGCACTAGAGTAAAGTGGGATGAAGGGTGGGAAGTGTGAAAAGAGGTAAGTACTTATCAGAAAAACATTTTCAGTATAGGAAAATTATCACTTCCGATACGGTACTTATCTTCTCTCTCAAACTTAGCTAGAAACCCACAATGAATAGGAGGAGGGACCACAGAAGTACCTCCCAAAAGCATCTGAAGGATACCCCCTAGAAATGAGAGAGTCAGACCTGAAGATCAGATGAGAGGAACTGCACCACTTCTGAACTAGGTATACTCTTCGCCCTTCTGTGAAATGTGGAGAAGATAGGAGCAAAAAAGGAGAGAAACACATCTAAGTGGGAGAGAACTGTGTCAGGATCATGTTACAAACATTATAAAATAAGTATTCAATCCCATGAATAGAAAAGTGGGTAAAACAATGGATGTGCCCTTGGATGTAGAGTGGCTAGGGCACGACGGACCATACTCAGTAAGTCAACTACATTCAAAACCCATGCCGCTGGGAACCGACATCCACGTGGGGGTAGGATGAGGATCATACCTTCTTCACCTCAAACCCAAGAGACCAGGTAATTGAGAATTACACAGTCTCCCAGGTATGACACAAGTATTTAGCACTGAGTTATTGATCTGGGGACCCAACATCAGGTATGAAAACTCCCCCAACTGGACACTTACCGAAACCATTCGAAATGTGATAACATTCCCATATTATGATAGGATGAGGGAGTGCCAAAGGACAGAATCATCATAATCTTACATACCACTTCTGTGACCCATAACACAGACAGAAGAAAATCGAGGGAGGAAGACAGACAACCCAATACGTGTGAGGACTTATGTTAACTGATTCTACTCTATTCTAAAACCCAGCTGCGAGGTACCAACATCTGGGAGGGGGTAGAACGAGGGCTTCCAATCAAACGGGTGAACTGCATTTTGACGTATCAATCCTTCATAATTTTATATCTACATCATCTAGACACTCAGAACACCACTGCCCTGGCCCATCCCTACATACTATGCACCTACAGTACTAAGTGATAGTTTCTACCTATAAACAGTGTCTCCATTAACCTACATCAATAACTTCTCCCTACAAACACAATGTTTCTGTTAACTTGTATAATTTGCTTATGCACAAGAGGTTCCCATTTCTGTTTATTTAAATTTTCATTTCATGCATATCTACATTTTCTTGTTCAGTTAGCTTATACTTAATTTTCTTGTTTGGTTAGCTTCTCCTATTGTACAATATACATCTATTTTCTTGTTTGGTTAGCTTCTCCTATTGTACAAGATACATCCATTTTCTTGTTTGGTTAGCTTCTCCTATTGTACAATACACATCTATTTTCTTGTTGGTTAGCTTCTCCTATTGTACAAGATACATCTATTTTCTTGTTTGGTTAGCTTCTCCTATTGTACAATATACATCCATTTTCTTGTTTGGTTAGCTTCTCCTATTGTACAATATACATCCATTTTCTTGTTTGGTTAGCTTCTCCTATTGCACAAGATACATCCATTTTCTTGTTGGTTAGCTTCTCCTATTGTACAATATACATCTATTTTCTTGTTTGGTTAGCTTCTCCTATTGTACAATATACATCTATTTTCTTGTTTGGTTAGCTTC